AAATAGCATAGAGAGAATAACTGTTATTATTATTATTCTCTCTCTGTTATTTATTTATTTTTTGTGGGTTTCATGCTGTCCGCTAAGGCATAGGACACACACAAGCTTTCCTCCTCACCAACGCAAGCAGTAGAGCCATTATAATCTACATCTTAATTGTCTACACTAGATGCGGCGCGGCGCGACACGACAAAACCCAACATTAAACTGATGCCTTGTTCTATTTATGACGTACTAACACAAAGTTAAAATGATTTGCAACGGTCGCTTTGTAACAACTGTAGCGTCCGGTATAGACACGGTGAGTGAAGCCCACAGCAAGATATGCCTCGTCATATTTTCTGCATTTAGCTTTTGAATGACCGGCACCTGCCTGGGTCTGTGCGACTTCATCTATGGCTTTTCTCTTCCCTTTCACAAACCAATCCATCTCTCATTCTAAGTTACGTCCTTTGGCTGTATACTGTTTTATTTATTTTCTTTTTGTGCTGATGGCCCGCACTCAACTTGAAGCAGCGCTGCTTAGACCGATGGGTGTGTGTCATCAAAGTACTGCGAGAGCTATAAGAGAGCGTGGACGTCTCCTTATGCTTTCTCTTGCCGTACTTTGATGTCATACACCAGAGGTGCCCAAACTCGGTCCTGGAGGGCCGATGTCCTGCAGAGTTTAGCTCCAACCTGCCTCAACACACCTGCCTGGAGGTTTCTAGTATGCCTAGTAGAATAACTGTTATTATTATTATTCTCTCTCTGTTATTTATTTATTTTTTGTGGGTTTCATGCTGTCCGCTAAGGCATAGGACACACACAAGCTTTCCTCCTCACCAACGACATAAAACACCGTGTCTACACCGGACGCAAGCGGCAAAATACAGTAGAGCCATTATAATCTACATCTTAATTGTCTACACTAGATGCGGCGCGGCGCGACACGACAAAACCCAACATTAAACTGATGCCTTGTTCTATTTATGACGTACTAACACAAAGTTAAAATGATTTGCAACGGTCGCTTTGTAACAACTGTAGCGTCCGGTATAGACACGGTGAGTGAAGCCCACAGCAAGATATGCCTCGTCATATTTTCTGCATTTAGCTTTTAAATGGCCAGCACCTGCCTGGGTCTGTGCGACTTCATCTATGGCTTTTCTCTTCCCTTTCACAAACCGATCCATCTCTCATTCTAAGTTACGTCCTTTGGCTGTATACTGTTTTATTTATTTTCTTTTTGTGCTGATGGCCCGCACTCAACTTGAAGCAGCGCTGCTTAGACCGATGGGTGTGTGTCATCAAAGTACTGCGAGAGCTATAAGAGAGCGTGGACGTCTCCTTATGCTTTCTCTTGCCGTACTTTGATGTCATACACCAGAGGTGCCCAAACTCGGTCCTGGAGGGCCGATGTCCTGCAGAGTTTAGCTCCAACCTGCCTCAACACACCTGCCTGGAGGTTTCTAGTATGCCTAGTAAGAGCTTGATTAGCTGGCTCAGGTGTGTCTAATTGCTGGATCTAAACTCTGCAGGAAACCGGCCCTCCAGGACCGAGTTTGGGCACCCCTGTCATACACCAATCGATCTTCAAGTCGAACACACCTCTTTACTCTCACGTGTCACGTGACCGAGTGTAATCGCAGTCTCTGCGTTTTAATTTTTTTTCATATCGCGATATTATCGCAAATGCAATTAATCGTTCAGTCCTACACTGAACACACTGTACTTCTATCCCTCACAGCCTTGTTTTTATTCCTGTCAAAAATTAAATATGGCACTACCCTGACAACGGTCTGTTGAAAAGACTGAATTAAGTCATCGAACGAAACCAAGCTGCTAACACCTAATACTGTGTGTCCCTGCTCACCCACTGAGGAGATCCTGTAAACAGATCATTACAACAATGATGCACCGCAAGAGTTGGGATGGAAAGATTGAGAAAGTGAAGGTGAGAGACAGCGAGAGCTTCATTAACACAAAATACACAGTGATGTTGGGAGATATGGTGCTAGTACCAACAACACTACATCAAGTTACTCTAAGCATAGGTGCATATTTTTGGCGGTTGTGCTATCCACAGTGTATATATTCCTTTTTCCTTTTATAATTTATATAGTTTTGATATATAGGCCTACACACACACACACACCTTTTTCATACACATGTATGTGTGTGTTTCTGTTAAGTAAAACTGATAATTAAAACAAAATGGTTAAAAAATACTTTTCTAAAATAAAATATAAATATTAGGTAAAAAATGTAAACCTAAATAAAAAAGCTTACACGAAAATTTAAAATGTTGCCTTTGCAACTAACTGAAATAAAATTATGTATTTAAGTTGAAGTTGATCAAACTAAAATTAAAAGCAAAATATAAATAAAAAATATAATATAAATATAAAATATAAATATAAAAATATAAAAAAGACAAAAGAGCTTAAAAAAGTAATAAGACTAAAATTAAAAAGGAAAACACAGGTTCACAATTTGAGTCATAGGCATAGCTTTTTTATTTATTTTTGATTATGTAGACATCCTTTCATGTTTGTTTTTAGAGTTTAGTATCTTAGCATTTTACTAATATTACTGTGTAAATGGAACATATTCTCTTGCAGTGCCAGTCCTAGTTGTTGGTTTATATATGAGTTTTATAGCAAATAAAGAGACATTTTTTCCCCAGCATTGTCCTAGTATTTCGACATGCTGTTGTTTGCTTGTGCTTGTGAGGTATTTTTAGCTGTTATCATGGGTCTATTTGATAGTACTAAACCAAGAGCCAAAATAATTAAAACTGGGCTAATTCCTTATCTGATGAAATCCACACACTTTAGCTTATGCATGATGCCTGTAAGGTGTAAGTCAGAAATAGCCATAGAATTCCTTGTACCACCACCAGCAGTACAAGTCTTCACATTGAAAAATAAAGACTGGATTGTGCATGCAAACAAAAGCAGATTGAATGATTCAGTACTCACTCTCCATTCAGAAGATTTCTGATGTAATGGAGAACATTGGACAATTGCAGAAGTGTACGCAATAATGCAATCAAGTGTGCAGACTATCAAGTGTGCAGTATACGTTTGTCTCATATGGGTTCGGTTCAGTGCAGCTGTTCTCCTGCGCAGTCATTTGATGTCCCTTATAGAAACAGGAAGAGTAGAGATATATAGATATAAAGAACAGAAAGATAAGACTGGCCTGAAAATACATACATAATTATAGTATGTATGTGTATATATACTCATATACTTAATGTATTTATACTTAATATATATACTGGTGACTCTTTAGCTCTGTCCACGGCATGCCTCCAGGAGCTCGACTGTTTTCAGTGAGAAGTGGTACAGCTTTATCTGTCTTTTATAAATCTGATTAAACTAAAGACTCTTCGGAGATATGAAGCATGCAATACTACTCTATAGGTATTCAAGATTAACATGAGACTGGCAGAAACTGTGTTTGTTATGTCCGCTTTAAATTAAATTTGACAATTTCAGATTATATGTACAATATATTACATTTTATTACACATAGTACATAGCATGTGTGTATAGATAGACAGATTGATTTATATAGAGATATACATTCCATATTTATATATACATCCATCTATCTATCTAGCTGACTGTCTGTCTATCTATTTATCTATATGCCATTGAGGTCATTGTATCATATTTATTTTATATTTTCCGTTTTAATTTTAAAGTTTTATTCATTTTTATTACTTTTTAAAGAAATATCAATATAGTTTTTATTGATTTTATTTCAGTTTTAGTTATTTTAGTACATCAAGTTAAAACTGAAAATGAAATGGACAAACTAGCTAAATAAAGCAAGTTTATGTGTTAATATTTAATCTTATTTAGTTAACATTATTTTTATTTCAATGTTGTTTATTGGATTTCGTTTTAGTGTATAATTATATGGGCTATTCAGTATAACATATACATAGTGTATATGTGTGTGTGTGTGTGTGTGTGTTTGTATAAGTTTGTATATTTAATATGTAAAACATATGCATAATTTCATTGTAATGCATAATAATGTATTGCAATACACCAGTGTGAGATTGTATTCATGTCTGTGCAAATTCAAACTTGGCGCATTAAGATGCACTGTAGCAGGTTGGACATTGTTGCCATTAGTTTCTACATGTCCCTCATGGATTGCCAGGGGCCTCCAAAACCTCAAGCTGTGTGTCCTGACACTGTCAAAGGAAGTTTAACACTTGGGCTCCTGGCAAATACAGCACAAGCTGACCACATTGGCCCCTGGGACCCATGGCACATTTAGCAGTAGCTGACCACTTGGACCCCCAGGCCCCGCGACACTTTCTGTGTGAGCTTACTATGAGGGGACCCTGCTACTACTTTAGTAATCTAATGTTATTCTACTAAACCAAGTGTTTTTAAAACCAATGTTGTTTAACAGTTGGCAGAGCGAGCATATACAGTACAAACTAAAAACATACTGTTATACTGTTTACTATACTGTCATATACATTAGAGCAAAATATAGTGTTTTTTTTCAAGCACTATAACAGTTTAGAAAGGGGCTTTAAAGTGAAGTGTAAAAGCTCAGCCTTTCAGCAACTGCATTTACTGTCGCTTTGTTTGCGGCGGTAGACAGGTGAGGTACCTGATGCTCATGAATCTTTGCATGAAAAATGCCCCCAGTCTGAGACAAATGATTCTACACAAACGCTGAGTGACAGTCAGTGGGCAGAAAATGACACACTGTGGGAGAGAAGAGAGAGAGACCTGCAGGAGACACACAGAAGGAGAAAGAAAATAAAAGTACAAGAGTGAGACAGAGAGAGAACAAGAAATTGTGGGGGAGATTCACTCTCTGTCATTCATTCACACTCTAGACTAGAGAATGGCTGCAGGGAGGAATGAAAGAGTATGATTCATTTTTGTTATCCCTCTGATGGGTGAAAAAGGCTCGTTTTACAAAGCAAAGGAACTGATTCTAGCACCTTCCCTTTTCTCTTTCAGATCTTGTGGACAGTGTTTGAGAGTGTGTGTGCATATGTGTGTGCGTGTGTGAGGGCGAGCGTGAAAGTGTGTGTGTTAGCACTTCCACATGGCCTCCATGCAGGACGGGGTGAACTTCTCTGCTCATCCCTACGGCAAAGTACTGCTGCTGGGGGCCATCGCCGCTGCCTCAGCCTTCGTTGTCACCATCCTTATCGTCGTGCTATGTGTGGGCTGCCAGAGGTGAGTTGCACACACAAACACATATGGTCATATATAAAATGTTCTGACTTCTTGCCCTCTTTGGTTGGTTGGAGTTTCTTTGGTTCTTTATTTGTTTAGATTCATATTCTGGACAGCTTGCTTGTTCAAACCCCAAACCTAAAGTGCTAACTCATCCTGCAGACATAATACCTCAAATCATGCAGCTCACTGATGAGAGGCTTACGATTTCTCCTGGTGTACATGTAACCCCTCTCCCCCGGGTCCTCACCGCCACACCTCGTTCTCGTTCCGAGTGGGTCTCCGGCATGGGAGGCGGACACACTAACAAGGAGGCTAAAGACTGCAGCCTCTAGCGTCAGTCGTTAGTGCGTCTCTTGAGATCAGGGGAGTGAGGTTTACCTGCACAGCACTTACTCGCTGGCCTCCGTTACATACACACAAAACAACAAAAAAAGCCAAATTGGGGAAGGACTTCCATAGACTTACCCTGAAGGATTAGCCCCAATCATAATAGCAATCATCCAGAAATGCCTTAGAAACCACCCAGAACATCAAAGAAATCACATAGCAACAGGCTAACAACCACTCAGAACACCATAGCATCATATGACCCTATTAAGTAACATTTCTTCTTATTATCAGTGTTTTAAAAAAAACATTGTAGTTTGCTCCTAGTATTTTTTTATGGAAACTGTGTTTTTTAGGATTCTTTGATGAATAGAAAGTTTAAATAACAGCATTCATTTGAAAAAATGAATGTAATTTCTCTAAAAAAAAATCTTACTAACCTCAAACTTTTAAACAGTAGTGTACATACACATACAGCACTCAAATTGAGCATAATACCCAGGGAAAAATATTAAATATATTTTAACAATACTTTAATCTTCATTCAATATGCAAACGAACAGTCTCTTTTAGTAAGCATTCTCTCAGAACACTCTAGGAATTGCAAAACAATGTGCTAGAAACACTCAAAACACCATAGCAAATGCACAGCAATGCCCTGGAAAAGTCCCATAACACTCTAGCATCGTGGCGATGAGCTTTGCACAGGCAAGCACCACTCAGTTTTTCCACTAATAAAAATCAGCCTTGAACTTCTGTATACAATTGACAATATTTTATTTTCATTTCATGCTAGAACCTACGGAGCCCCGCACATGATATGCAGGGAAAAAAAGTAAATTGTGCGCATGATTTACTAATTCATTCCCTCATTTTAAGTAAATCGTGCGCACAAAATAATAATTTGTTCCACTTCCTGTCCGCATTCTCATAAACCGATGTTGATGCCTCTAACTTAAAATGATTCCATGCAGCACTGTAAGGCTTTCATTCCCATCTCAAAATAAAACCCAATTAAAGTGTCTCTGTCCATAACATAACAACATAACATAACATAACAGCAGCAACAGGTTTATCAGAATGCAGACAGAAAGTTATTTCGTGTGCACGATTTACTTAAAACGAGGGAACAAATTATGGTTACACTTTATTTCGATAGTCCACTTTAGACATTCTACTAACTGTAAGTAACTTTGCAACTACATGTCAACTAACTCTCATTAGAGCATTTGTAGACTGTTAGGTTAGGGTTAGTAGAATAAGTTGCAGCACTTGCTAAGTTACTTATAGTCAGTAGAACGTCTGTTGAGCAACCATCAAAATAAAGTGTTATGAGATATTAAACAGACAGTCTACTAATACTCTAAGTTGCAAACTTACTTATAGGTAGTAGAATGCCTAAAGTGGACTATCAAAATAAAGCGTTACCCAAATGATTATATCGAGCACACGATTTAATTAAAACAAGGGAACGAATTAGTAAATCGTGCACACAATATTAGTAAATTATAACACTGGTAGATGAATGAACAAAAATAACATCTAATGGCACAGAGATTCTGACCAGCATGTTCACACAGAGCTTGCATTCTCATACTTATAACAGTGCTTTGTACTGTAAATCTTCATATCGTCAACATCACAGAAAATGCTCCTGTAATATGAAGCCACATATCCCACTGCTGCTGTGTGTGTGTTCCAGGATGAAAGCCAGAGATCACCTGTCACCCATCACTGTCAATAAGGCCTTTAATAGAGCTTATTCAAAAATGTCATTGAAGTTCACCCACACCTCTTTCATGCTCACTGTGTAATGGTGGGGACGTCATTTTGACATGGCAGTGATGTTTAAACAGGAAATTTGTATATAAATCTTTAAATGATCTAGCCCCTATTTATTTATCTGAGTTACTATACCCATATACTCCATCCAGACACTTAAGATCCAGTGATCAGAATCTTCTTCTAGTCCCACAATCCAGACTCAAACGTTGAGGGGATCGTGCTTTTTCAGTGGTTGGGCCGCGGCTGTGGAATAGCCTTTAGAGATTAGACTTGCCCCTTCTCTGTCCACTTTTAAATCTCTTCTAAAAACATATCTGTTTTGTTTGGCTTACAAATAATTTTCTATTATGGTCTTTGCTTAGTCTTTTATGGGTTTATACTTAGTTTCTCGTGTTATTAATATATTTACTTATTTTATTATTAAGGCGAGACCCTGTTTAATTGTGTAGCTGTGCAGATTTTTATATTCTTTTTACTATTTTGAATTTCTGTACAGCACTTTGGTCAGCCGTGTGGCTGTTTTATACATGCTATATAAATAAACTGAAACTTGAAATGGCTTTTTTTTCCATCTATGTCTCTCTTGTTCCACCGATGATAGCACAGAGCACACTGTGTGAATGCTAATGTCTCATTTTGTCAAAGCACATGATGCATCTGGTAGTGGGAGGACAAAGAAAAAGTATTAGAGGAATGAGAGATGGAGGAAAAGAAGTGAGAAAGACAAGAACAAGGGTTGAAGGAAATACAGATGAGAAAGACATTGCGGGGAGAAAGTAAATGAGAAAATGTTGGAGGTATTTTCAGTTTTCTATGAGATACTACTGATAAAGATCACCTCTTTAGGTCAAGCTTGCTGGAAAAAATATTATTTAAAGCTTGCAAATGAATACTGAACACTACAGTCAAAGGTAAACTTATGTACATTTGAACATCAAAGTGTGGCTATTAAAGTAATACAAAATTAATAAAGTTGATACAGTTCACAAAACCAGTTGGAATGATTAGCTGACAAATCAGGCTGATCTAGTTCTCAGTATTCAGTGATTCTTTTGTAGACCACTGAAGGGAAGACTCCACATCATTTATCACATTAATTAGATCTGAAATATTCAGCATAGTATATTTACTAGCTGTACTTGTATACAACATATTTATTTCAAATATTTTTGAGAAGGTTAGATGTTCTTGTGTTATATTATACTAATGTTTTTTATTCTGTTGTGTCTTAAAAAATAAATAACAGTGATTCGTGGGAATCTCAGTAATAGCTTTAATACTTTACAAAATCTACTTTGTATCCATTTTGCTCTGCTGGTCGGCAGATTTCAGATACCTACACTGTTCCTGTAATCTTATCAAAGCAATGCAAGCAACCAGAAGGGAACGACTGACATGGTTTTTTCAAGAATAAACAGATGTCTGGTCAAATTTGGCTGAACATTCCGGACAATGGGTCTGGATCAGGGCCCTGTGTATGTGTGAGAGAGGAAAGATTCGATTCAGTCACTGACAGACATGACTGTGTACTTCTTGTCTTTTCATGAAGAAAATAATCCTCAGCATCCATTTAGCTATTTTAGTGATGTTTGGATTGTTTGGATTGTATTATGTTGATTGTTTGATCGATTTTCTTTGTGCCTGAGTTTTGGCCTGAACACCATTGCACCGCAGTTACTCAGAGGCCTGTTAATCATCCAGTGAAAGCCTTCTGTTGTTTCAAATGCCAATCTGGGCTCATTTCGAGGATTGTGCATCTTGAAAGCACTTGCAGTTATTTTTGATCAAATTACTTCACTCAAAGTTTATAAAAAAACAACTGCCTTGAATCTTTCGAGTAGCCTAATTGACTTGAAATGTGCATTTTCTTTCTGCACAAGATAAACAGTTGGAGCAACTAAAGTAAATTGAATCAGGGGCTTAAATGAGTCAGCGCATTCAGTCTCCATAAATCAGTGGATAAACAGAGCATTTGAAGTTTGAACCTAACATTCTAAAATTTTGGATTTGTAACAGTGTGATTTACATGTTGCCGGTTGTGTCTTGCAGGAAGGGAAAGACACACAATGGCCCTGGAGTGGAGAGGAAGCACAGGCTCATGGACATGGTGAGCAATTCTAAGTCTCTTTTCCTTTTTCTATTCAGTTTGGGGTCAGTTAGTGTTTTTGAAAAAATGTCTCATGCTCAACCAGGCAGCTTGTTTTGATTTATTTAAATCCAAATTTTCAGCAGCCATTACTGTAGTCTTCAGTGTCACATGATCCTTCAGAAATCATTCTAACATGCTGATTTGGTGCTCAAGAAACATTTCTTTTTATCACTGTTGAAAACAGCCACGTAATATTTTTGTGATAGGATTTTTATTTTTTACAGGATTCTTTGAATAGAATAGGAAGTACAACATTTATTTCAAATAAAACTGTTCTGTAACATTATACATTTCTTTACTCTCACTTTTTAACATGTCCTTGCTGACTAAAAGTATTAATTTCTTTATAAAAGAAAATCTTACTGAACCCAAACTTTTGTATTTATATAAGCAGAGAGAGATGGTAACCTAAAGTAATCTTCAGAGAGTAACCTTATTGTTAAATTAAGATTTCTGTATGAAAACATTCACACATAGGTTTGTATGCACAATTACGTGTGTACGCATTGCTAGTGAATGAAACCCATTCTTCTTTTCTTCTGTATTTTCTAAGGAACCCAGGTCTGGACTCAGTTCCATGTCAGTTCAAGCAGTTCATGGTTTTGTTTCAGGATTTAAATTCTTCCCTCACACTAGTTTTCAAGTAACAAATTGAAGGCTCCTCCTGAATTTAATTAATCTTCTTAAGCGGCTCAGTGGAAATAGATCTGACCTAAACTTTGAATGGATCACTTAAGCTTTGAATCTAAAACAAAAGGATTTGGGCCATTTCACTATTTTAGCATCCCATGTTGTATGACACCCTTATTGTCACCCAGAACATTTCTCAACTGTTTTGCTCTGATTTTACCTTGGATATCAAGGAGTGATGGTAACCCAGCATAGTACACAATAATTATAAATAACCCAACAGTAAGCAGTAATATTTTCAAACATGAATCTATTATTATTGCCATGTACTTGCTTTACCCAACAATATGCCCAACGTAGGCTGAATAGGTAAATGTGCTTTTTTGTTGTTGTACAGGTTATACTGTTTTATTTTTATTTGAATACATTTTAAGCAGTTTATCTGTGCATCTGTTTTCAGAGTATACTGCGACAGTCCAAGCTGACCTCGATCAGTAAGTCAGACACCAAGCTTCATGAGATGAACAGACTCAACTGCAATGGCAAGAGTATGTACTGTACAATCACATCTCTTAAAGCTTGATAGTCTCTAGTTCTTCACACATACCTGCAGTTCGGGGGGAAGGTCTGAGCATGGTACCAGCTATGTTCCAGGAGTTTCCATAGGGGCTATTAGTAGATGTAATTACTTTTACGCTATAGTGATTGGCATGTATCTGCTGCCCTTTGCCTCTGCAGTTTCGAGCAAATCTTTTTATTGTGTCTTTGAAAAAACAATGGTTTTGCTTCTCAGATTTTAAGCTCTTCAGTTAATATCATTCTGCTCTCTGTAGAATCTTCTAAGAAGAACCGTCCTGCCAGCATGGATCTGCTCCTACTTCCTAGCCGTCGCTCAAACTCCGACCTGCATTCTCAGGGCCGCCAGCTGCCTCAGATCCCCTCTGGTGAGGACGGGGAACACACGTATGCTGAGGTGGGCCGCCGCTCTTCTCCCACCCGCGGTTCTGAGGATGCCCGCTACAGTGTCGGAGGTCGAGCCGGAGAGACGGACACACCCGCCCCACCGGCGGTCCCTGCTAATACCCCTGCTCCACCTGATCCTGACGGGGACTGCTTGGAAGGTGGGATTCCGGAGCCAGAGGCCCTCCCCCAAGTGGTAAATACGCCCCCTCAACCGCAGGAAACAGTGGAGTACGCCTGCATCAGAAAGGTCCGTAGAGTGGACAAAGCAGCACAGAAGAGGGACAATGGGACGGAGACCGAGGAGGGGCTTGGGCAACAACAACGACACAGCAGTGGGGACATTCGGCATGCTCCGCCCACTCACCCAGCCCCACCTCCAACGCTCCCACACAGTCAGAAGATTCCTCGGAAAAACATGGAGGCCTTCAATCTTCCGTCTTTCCCCAAGGTATCAATCAATCAATCTATCTATCTATCTAAAGCTTTATAAATGTTTTTTCAAAACCTTCAAACAAGATTTAAACATTCAAAGTTTATTGTTTCAAACTTTTATTTTCTAGTTAAAAATTACAATAATAAAAATGTCTTTCAATTTTAATTCATTTTAATTTGACTTCCTTAGATTCAAATTCAAATTGGAATACAATTTTGTATCCTATTTTCTGCCTCAAATTGAATTCAAATTCAGGAACTGAACTGAAATTTAAAGTGAATTTTCAATTCCATTCTGAATAGCGCACTTCTACAAACATATTCAGTGCTCATGTAATTCAGTAATTCATATAGCACTGCAACCACAAGGATTTAGCTGAGGCTACAAATGTAAAAATGAGAGCATTGTTGCTAATGGAAACTATTTGTTGTTTCATAACTACTGAAAGCCTTTGACTCGTTGTAATTTCCGATTGTGCTTTAAATTGTATCTTAAAGTGGAACATCTAAATAGAAGCATGCTGGGAATGGCTTCCCCTATTTTTGTGTGCCTCAGCGCAAGTGTGGACTTGCAACTAAAGTGGGTCTGCAATTAAGTACACTGCAAGTGTACTTTATTATTTTCTCTGCGAACACTGTCCAAATCAATGATACTTGCAAGCATTTAGTGGTCCGTCCACAGCATTCGGGGTGTTGCACACTCACGGGCACTTTACTTTGAGGATGATGCAACCAGCGGAAACACAGAGTGAAACCTCTCAATCACCAAAATCCAGGCAAACAGCCAGACCCAGAAAATGGGCCAGTGCTAATGGGAAAAGGAAATTGCAATGGTGAACGAAAGAACCTATGACAACATGCTAATCCCTGCCTTAAAAATGGTAATGTGACACACCCCATTGCCCACCTTCCGTTTCTCCTGCATAACAATGAGGAGAAAATGCACAGCAAACATCAGCCTGTTCCCTTACAGCCCGAGTACAGGAAACACATTAAGCCCAATATTATAAGTGTGGACTTGCAACTAAAGTGGGTCTGCAATTAAGTACACTGCAAGTGTACTTTATTATTTTCTCTGCGAACACTGTCCAAATCAATGATACTTGCAAGCATTTAGTGGTCCGTCCACAGCATTCGGGGTGTTGCACACTCACGGCACTTTACTTTGAGGATGATGCAACCAGCGGAAACACAGAGTGAAACCTCTCAATCACCAAAATCCAGGCAAACAGCCAGACCCAGAAAATGGGCCAGTGCTAATGGGAAAAGGAAATTGCAATGGTGAACGAAAGAACCTATGACAACATGCTAATCCCTGCCTTAAAAATGGTAATGTGACACACCCACCTTCCGTTTCTCCTGCATAACAATGAGGAGAAAATGCACAGCAAACATCAGCCTGTTCCCTTACAGCCCGAGTACAGGAAACACATTAAGCCCAATATTATTAGATGCAGAAGATGGTTAGACATGAGGGCAGGCATTAAGAGGGGGACCGTAGCCTGATTATTCTACATAGGCTTATTTTCATGGAGAAGAGTCTGATCTAATGTTCTGTTATTCTCTCTAACATTCTGTCAATCTATCATCAAAGGTAAAATTTTGGCAACTCTTTTGCAATATAATGGAAGTAAATGAGTGAATCTCTTGATTTGGTTCAGAAAACCACAAAACCTGAATGCTTTGTTCACAAATTGGACTCATTCACTTCTTGAGCTTAGCTCACAGGAGGTGACTATTATGAGTGACTAATGACTTAAAATTCAATCTGTTTCTCACACAAAGACATTAAGAAGACTTAATATTGCACACAGGTTGTATGGAGAATTTTATGGTATTTTCATGCTGCTTTTGCACCTTTTGAAGCTCCCATTTTGAAAGCTCCTTTAGTCTTTCACAGAAGAATAAAGTCATACTGGTTTGAAACAACACAAGGGTGAGTAAATGATGACAGAATTCATTATATGGGTAAACCATTCCTTTAAAACTACTGCTTTAAACCCATGAACTGTCCTTGGAGGACATTGTTGATGCTGTTTCATGATGCTGTTCTACTCGGCTCTATTCTCCAGTGTATATTGTTTAAGAAGGCCCCTTAAAATGTTATATAATATTTATTCTAGTCAATTGTTTTGAATAAATCAGGAGGCAGTGTTTATGGGAAATGGAGAACAGTACATATGGAAACCTCCGGAGGACGATGACATCATCTTCCAGCACAAGCAGATGGGTATTCTGAGCTCTCATGCAGGAGAGAATATGGCAGCATCTGCAGCAGGGGTGAGTGTGCATTTAGTTTTCCACAGTCCTGAGACACATCCACCTTTTCTCATTCTATGCAGTCACAATGTCTTGAAGGCATTATACATTCTTGAAACATTGTCTGTGAATGATCCCAGAGTACTTCCTTACCCCTAAACACTAATTCAGGGTTAGCCAGAAACAGCTGTAAACCCAAAAATGTGTATTCTTAAAAGGCTGGATTGTTTTTGTTGCCTATCAGACAGCGGGAACTGGAAAAACAAACTTTTGGAGTAAAAGATTTCCCACTCACGAATATGTTTCAGATGGTTTGTCTCTCTATTATCATGTAGATCACAGAGATGTATTCGAAAGTTTGCAAACCAGGCAAAAAGAAGCGAGGCATGCCTGGCTCGCCCACCGCCACGAGGGACATCAGCGGCTATAGGACCTTGGCTCGAGGTGACCGTGGTGAGCGTGACGGGGGTTTCAGCGTGGTAGTCAAACCCCAAACGTGGGCCCCGCAGGAGGGCAAAGGCACAAGAGCTCCACCCGGCTGCATGGAGGACCACTGCTACGAAGCCATCAGCACTGAGGAAACAGAACTGGCTTACGAGACCATGGAGGGTGGGGGAGGCTGGAGGCGCGACAGGCCTCCACCCAATGCCAGTGCCACCTTGCGGCCCAAGCGGAAGCGGCCCCAGCAACCTTTGCAACAACCACCGCCACCCCCTCCACCCCCCCAGCAGACCCCAAAACTGCTGCATCTACCATCCAAAACAATGCTGATTCCCGGGGAGAGCTTGTACGAGAGCATCCCTGACCTGAAGCAGGGCTCGGCCACCTCCAGCACAACCACCATCTTTACTTTTAATGATGGCATGGAGATGTATGTCACTGGCCTGTAGGGTGTGCTCTGGGGAAGGGAACTTTCCTCTCTGGGGATTGAATCTTGAATAGGGGACACGTATGCGTGTTGTAACCCAATGGGATACACGCATTGCACCACTGCTATATATTTTACATGGGTTCCAAGTATTAGTTGAGCATCAATTGAGTTTTGTAAGTCTAGATAAAGGTCAGTATTCTCACAGCACAAAAACGACAGAATGCTTTCGTGAAAATCCAAAAAAAATTATTTTGATTAGTTATACGCCTCTATCACGAAGAAAAATAATCACCAGCCACGACATATCACAACAGACTCAACATATCATAACCGACAGTAGCATTCCTGTAGAGGAAATTCTTGTTTTTTTGTCATTACATGCTGTAGTTAAGGACAAAGTGACCATCGGAATTGCGGGTCAAACTTGTATTTGATACCTAGAAAATCCCAAAGTAGAAAAAAAATAGAGCACAAGTCTATTACAAAAGTAACCTGATAAGAAGCATAGTTTAATTGTGTTCCCGTGGCCCTCTGAGAAGAAGGGGAAAAAAATATTTGGTTAGATGCCCTTAGCAAAGTACCATTCCCTGTTTTAAAAAAAAAATTATATGCAGAAAGTGAACATTATTAGAAAGCCAGTCAAAAGCTATTGCCAAGCAAAATATCATATATTGACAAAAAGCCTTTATTTAATCTGTTCACAGAAGAGCACTATTTTAAAATGGCTAAATGCTAACTATTACCTAAAAGCTTTAGGAAACACATGGCCCTATTTTTGTAATGTCACAGCCTCTATTTATGTAAAAAAATAAATTTTAGAGCTAAAATAAAGATTCTAATTCAATTGGTCAAACAGATCCTGTACGCCAAGAAAGTATTTTCTAAAGCACAAATATCTCATGCTTAGCATGTCATCTGTCTGATAGAGCACAAGTCTATTACAAAAGTAACCTGATAAGAAGCATAGTTTAATTGTGTTCCCGTGAGAGAGGGAAGCATTTAGAGGGCCTGAGAAGAAGGGGAAAAAATTATTTGGTTAGATGCCCTTAGCAAAGTACCATTCCCTGTTTTAAAAAAAAAATTATATGCAGAAAGTGAACATTATTAGAAAGCCAGTCAAAAGCTATTGCCAAGCAAAATATCATATATTGACAAAAAGCCTTTATTTAATCTGTTCACAGAAGAGCACTATTTTAAAATGGCTAAATGCTAACTATTACCTAAAAGCTTTAGGAAACACATGGCCCTATTTTTGTAATGTCACAGCCTCTATTTATGTAAAAAAATAAATTTTAGAGCTAAAATAAAGATTCTAATTCAATTGGTCAAACAGATCCTGTACGCCAAGAAAGTATTTTCTAAAGCACAAATATCTCATGCTTAGCATGTCATCTGTCTGAGACGGTGCACTTATGAAACTGAAGAGTACATTTAAAATCTGTTAAAAGTAATATATTGTAAATTGCAACTGTCAATAAAGCAAGATCATGGAAAGAATAAGCAAAAGCTCAGGGACAGTGAACAAAAATATTAAATAATTGCACACACAATGTTATGACCCCCAATGTCTTTTCATGCTATTTTCTTGTTTTGGTCACACATCAATTCAAACTGTAACACATAAGTCACCACAGCACTTCAATGCGGTAAAGTAAGTGTTTTTCTTTGTCAATACTGTTTATGCACTTTGCCTGATTAAAAAGATGCATGCTTTCAAGAAAAAAATACCCTTGTAAAGGGATAAAAAAAGCAAAGAAAGAAAAGTGAAACTAGCACTGTCCTGTGGTATCAGAGAATGGTTTATTTCTTGCTGTTGTCGGTGGATTGTTTGATTTATATGCCTTTTTCTTCATCTGAGAAAGAGTACAAAGTGAATCGCTTCAGGACTGGTCAGATAGTGACAAGCTTCACCAGTGGACAATGTCAAAATATCTATGATATGTGGACTTTGGCCGCTGTCTCTTGATGTCTTTGAATCTGATTCTAATGTGATCTGGATTAAATTATCCCAAATGACTGGAGCGCACATAAAGGGGCTCAGGTCAACCAAATATAATCAAACCCCTCATTGCTATCAAACATTGGTGCAATGTTGTAAATATGTTACAAGAAGAATTACAGAAGAAAATGCATAAAAGGGAGGAGGGAATTTGCTCTTGGTGTTCCTGAAAGTATTTGTTTCTTTCCGGTTGTCCTTTTGGAATGATTTTTCTCTGGTGAAAAATTATCTCAGCAGTATCTCTGTGAGTTTTGATTATGTGCTTTGGGATTTTTGGTTTTCCACATCATTTTAGCTATACTGTGTATCTCAAAGATCATTTGAGTTTAGTGTGGCAGCTAATGTTGTGCGTTTGCTTATCAAACAACAGGGTGGTGTGTATTAAAGCTGTGTAATTAAGTACTAATGTGCAAAAGATTGTAATGTTTTTATATCAAAATGACTATTCATAAAATGTCGGGTCAAGTTTATACTTTTTTAAATAAAGTAGCACTTCAAAAACACAAAGCATATAGCATTTACATAGTGTTTTCTCACAATAAGCCATCTATTAATTTTCTAAAGAGACAATACCACTAAGTGCTAAGACGGTACGATCTCAAGAAAAAATTTAAGAATTTTACATGGTGCCGATTACATATGAATTTGTATAATGTGGTGTATGAAAATGTACACTTTTGAAAAAAGTAAACATGAAGATTCACCCCAACTCTACCTTTAAACCTAACTATCAATGGGATTTAAGCAGGTCTTATGGAAACACAAATGAGATTGCATGAATTCATATGAATTAGTTTGAAATACTTATAAATTGCTATGAGATTGTGGTGGACACTTACGGAACAATAAATTTTTTTGGTAATTGCAGTGCTAACTACAATTATATGATACTTATAAGTGTGCATTCACATTGGTTGTCAGAGTAACAACACAAACACTATGCACAAGATTTTAGCAATGGATGTTTCTCTAAGGTTTTTCATGAGTGCAGCATCCTCATCTGAAAACATTTGTCGCAGACAATAGCATTAAAAATCAGAAAGGGTGGAATATGCTATATTTATTTGCAACTACCACAGTTAAGTGAACCTTGTGATCTGACCACTCATACTGAGAAGCATTAAAATCTAATTATAATTAGATTTCTGGTGTTTTGCTTGTTCAGAAAAATTAAATTAAATTTAAAAATCAGATTTTTCTGTTATTTGTAAGAACTTGCAGATTTGTTTACAGTAAATATTTCTGTCTCTGGGGACAAATGAATGGCAAAAGTGTAACTAAATATTTCTTAGTTCAGTATTAATAAGGATATTTAAAAAGAACTATGGATTTAAAAAGCAACAAAGAGATTCACAGACATGAGATCTCACATAGGCAAAAGTCTTGCTTCTCTGACTTACTTAGAAATGAAACAGATGTGTGCCTGTGTTCGATTTGCATTTTGTGATATCTGTAGGCATCAATGCAAAAGGTTCAGTAAATATTCCAGAGGACATTTCTCATTCTAAATCTGGATGTGATTAGGCTCTGATTAAACCGACTTTGATTAGTTTATAAACTCAGGTAGATGAGGGATTGCATTAGAGTTCTTTGTTTACCCTAATTAGCCATTGAAGCTGCAGTCACATCAGCCTTTCACTGTGGTGCATGCTGTTCCTATGACAACTGCCTCACTGTCATGGTATGGTATTTAAGAATTCCCCTCCATTGAGACAAAATCTCATCGCATTTCACAGTAAGATTACATTACAAACAGATGGAGGAGGTCATAGAATTTTTTTTTATTTCATTCAAATCTTCTACTAGAACATAATGAACTTGTGTTTGTAAAAATGTACCCTGTTTTCCTACCTCTCTTACTGTGTCCCTGCATGTGGTTATATGTGAGAGTGTCACAAGCTTGCATCTGACTTGCTCTGGAAAAAAAATAGGTCATCCTTAAAACAAAAAGGGTGCAGTCAACATAGCAACCGTCTGCTGTTTTTTTATTGGCTGACTTGTTTCCATAGTAACAGGTTAACCTTGAGGCTGCAGTCAGCAGACCAGTTTGTTGTCTAGGCGAATCCAGTATGTATGAAGAGCTCTGCTATGTCAAGATGTCACCCATGTTTTAGATCTCCAGCAACACTGAAGAAAGGGTCTGCATGTTGTATTAAACTAGTGAGAATACAACAGTCTCTATAGGAGTCTATACAATGTCAGCATTGTACAGTGCCTTCAAATGTATTCACCCCCTTTGAATTATTCCACATTAAATATTTTCGGGGGAATGGTCATATGTAACATAACATGTATTGTACTGCCATTTCAAAATGTGGAGAGAAGTAAAAATTTTAAGGCAGTGTTTCCAAACTTTTCTGTCTTAGGTACTCCCAGAGCCCCATAAGGATCAAGTGCTGTTCTTCTTTAAAGAAACATGCCACTATTTTTGAAAATAATAATCATTTTCCAACTCCCCTAGAGTTAAACAGTTGAGTTTTACCGTTTACGAAGCCATTCAGCCGATCTCCGGGTCTGGCGGTAGCACTTTTAGCTGTAGCTTAGCATAGATCATTGAATCTGATTAGACCGTTAGCATCTCGCTCAAAAATGACCAAAGAGTTTCGATATTTTTCCTATTTAAAACTTGACTCTTCTGTAGTTACATCGTGTACTAAGACCGAAGGAAAATGAAATGTTGCGATTTTCTAGGCCGATATTGCTAGGAACTATACTTTCATTCCAGCGTAATAATCAAGGAACTTTGCTGCAGTACCATGGGTGCAGCAGGCGCAATGATATTACGCAGCGCCTAAAAATAGTCCCCAGCTAGGTAATAGGAAAAATATCAAAACTCTTTGGTCATTTTTGAGCGAGATGCTAACGGTCTAGAAATTGTCTTTTTTTATCCTTTTGTTTGTCATATTTGTTTCCTTGGTCAGTGTCTGTGGGTTTCCATCTGCTGTTGTAGGCCATAAGGACCTTTGAAATAACTGAAATAGTTTGGTGAAGTGATACTGAACTGTAATGTGGTCAACAGACCTGGAACTACTTCATAGCTGTGGGTTTACTTTATTTTCTTTAACAACTTCTAACTATCTCTTGGTTATTCATTATTCCATTCCAACTGAATTTTTTCAATTCATTATCTTTTATTAAGATGGTAGATTGTCTCTAAACTCTTAAATGAACAACAAATGTTTCCCAAATGCATTTTAGTTCCATAGTTGCATTTTGAATGTCCTTACTGAACATGCAAAATCACAATGAGACAGGAGGAGTGAAGTACTGCCCCCTGTTGTTAATGTTGCAGCAGCACATGTGAAAAAAACTTCCACCCTGCTCCCTCTGAGCTACCTCAAGAATGATCAAATAGAAATAGAAATTGTAGAGTTTGTTAAATTGAGGGAAATAAACAATGCATTTAAATGATTGAGGCATTATCAAGTGTTTTTAACAAATAATTTTATGTTGAATGTGTAAAACCAATAAACAGCCAAATTTGTCCAGCCATTCATTCATTTGTATATTTATACAAATGTACAAATTAATTCTTATTAATGTATAAAAGTGTCCAGTTTGAACATTTTTAACTATTGTGACAGTGTTTCAGGAACAAGCAGTCCTCTAAAATATTGATAATTTTTTTTACTGTTTTAGATCCCATCATGAACATACGGTCATAAAATGAAGTGCTACAAAATACTGCGCCTCATGAGTGTGCTGGCAAATCTATTTTTGTTCCTGGCTGGTTTTATAAAATTACAGTAAGTGTTGATCCTCGCTAGTCACAACTGCTTGAATTGCTTGAACAAAGTGTCAAACCTCTGATGAGCAGCTATGTGGTTGCTATGAAGCACCATCTGTCCCAAAGTAACAATCACCAAAGTCCCCTTCAAGGACAGCAAA